ATATATATATATATATATATACATCTTGAGTTTGAAATGATTGGAAGGTCTTCCAACTTTGAAACGCTTTTCTACTTGGATTGTTTAAGATGGTTGCAACCTACGCAAACTCTTTCCTTTTATAATTGGGTGTGGTTTGTATAGAGCCGAGGCTCTAAACAATCAAAGTAAAATACACACCTTCAAATATTGTCGAAAGATGCGGTTTCAATATTAGAAATCTTTGTGATAGCATTAAAATATATTATTTTTAATTATAGAATTTAAAGCTGCAAAAATAGTGTAGATAGAACAGATCTATGAAAACTTTAAAAACTTAAAAATTGATGGTCCAAAAATATGTTACAAGATGTACTATTTTCAAAACTTGATATCTATTTTTGTCTCATATCTATGCATCTTGACGTCAAGATCATGAGTTAGAGGATATTTGGGCATCAAAACAATAGGTAAATTTTTTAGGTGGGCTCCAATTTGATTATTTAGAGCCTCGACTCTATATAAACTTATTCCTCTATAATTAGAAACTCTAATTATATATATTTTTTCATAATTACCCCTACTTTTAGTTTTAATGGGGATAGAACAACTTGATGTTAGTATTTTTTGTTTGAAAAATACTTATATGTATTTCAAAACAACACTATGGTATTTTATTCTTTCCCGAATTGCTTTGATTATGGTTTTATTGTTCTATCCTAAATTGCTTTGTATATAGAGAGAGATGTGGGTTTGAGTCCCACATTGAAGAGGGGAGAATTTGTTTAGGTGTATTTAAGAGCACTCATTCCCATGCAATATACTCTTGAGTACAAACGAGAGAGAAGGCATATGTGCGGAGTATATGAAGCGTACCACATGCATGTGCGAGGGCGTGGGCGCGGGCGTGCAAGAGCACTTGATGGCGCACTTTGCACTTTCCCCCCTTGGCATTGGCACATGCGATGCCCCTCGCCCGAGCACGTGTGCAGTTTGGGCTCGTGGCTTGCTATCTTTTTGTGATCTTGGCTTGTAGAGGAATCCTCTAGCACTCGATGAATGTCGGTCATTGAGTCGTCGAATAGTGTCGATCAACTAGCACTCAATGAGTGTGGGTCATCTAGCCGTCCATGATATGGAGGCCAAGTGTGTGTGCGAGGGTGTAGGTGCAAGAGCACTTGATGGCGCACTTTGCACTTTTCTCGCCTGGCATTGGCACATGCGGTGCCCCTCGCCTGAGCACGTGTGCGAAATGGGCTCGTGGCTTGTTATCTTTTTGTGATATCGGCTCGTAGAGGAATCCTCTAGCACTCAATGAATGTCGGTCACTGAGTCGTCGAATAGTGTCGATCAACTAGCACTCAATGAGTGTGGGACATCCAACGGTCATCTAGCCGTCCATGTTATGGAGGCCAAGTGTGTGTGCGAGGGTTTAGGTGCAAGGGCACTTTATGGCACACTTTGTACTTTCCTCGCCCAACATTGGCACATGCGATGTCCCTCGCCCGAGCACGTGTGTGGGTTGGGCTCGTTGCTTGTTATCTTTTTGTGATCTCGGCTCGTAGAGGAATCCTCAAGCACTCGATGAATGTCGGTCATCGGGTCGTCGAATAGTGTCGGTCAACTAGCCGTCGATGAGTGTCGAACATCCAACGGTCACTATCCGTTGATGAGATGGAGGCCACATGCGTGTGCGAGGGGCATACGTGCAAGGGCACTTGATGGCGCACTTTGCACTTTCCTCACCTGGTATTGGCACATAATGTGCCCCTCGCCTGAGCACGTGTGCGGATCGAGCTCGTAACTCGTTATCTTTTTGTGAGCCTGGCTCGTAGAGGAATCCTCTAATTGTCGAGTGTCGGTCATCGAGTCGTCAAATAGTGTCGGTCAACTAGGCATTGATGAGTGTGGGACATCCAACAGTCATCTAGCCGTCGATGAGATGGAGGCTTGTAATAGCAACCATCGCATGTAACTCATGGAACTTGTACCTGTTGGGATACATGTAACTCATGTAACTCGTAGCTATTGGGTGATGCATGTAACCAACACAACACTAAATGGGCAGCATTTTAGAGCGTTGTAACAATGACCCTCCTACCCATATGATTTTACACACTTAGAACAATCTTTTAGCCTCTCTCAATAGACCATTTTCTACAATTCCAGCAAACAAGGCAGTAAGCTAACTCTCTCTCTACTCGATTTTGTCTTTTTATCTCTCTAAACTATCAAGACTATGGTGTTTATTGTATGGGTTCCAAGCTCGGTTGCATAGAGCTTAGGAATATTGTTATAAGACCTCGCTGTTTTTCTGTATTCTGAGGACGAACTGCCATTCTTATGCGCAACATATATTACATCAAAGGGGGACAAATATCGTTTTGAAATAGTGCTATTGCATGCCCAAAAACAAGTAGAGTTCGAGATCTAATTTTTTCTAATCGTACCATTTTTTTGCCCCCATTTCACCCACCATAACTCCAATACTTTAAAAAACAACCGCAACATATACAACACCCAATCCAAGGACCTCCATGGTTTTGCATATCCCACAAATCCAAACAGTCTAAGCGTAGATGGCGCCCACTCCAGTCTTTACAGATATTTCATGTAATTTAAAAAACACTGGGTCGACACGGGGATCCGCCAGTCCGACCTGGGAATCGGACACCCTGTATCGATTATATCAATGTATAGGAAATTGTTTGGGTCTAGAATATAATTAGCGATTTGCTACAGTAAAAGAATGTTTTGCTACAATAAAAATATCATATTGCTACAATAAAAATGCCGATTCACCGATTCCGTTCGTTTCTTATTTAGTTCACTGTCTTTGTACTTGTTTTTTTGTCATTTCACTATTTTATTTGTAAAGTAAAATAGCAATCTTGACCGTCGATTCACCAATCCAAACTGATTTTTGCAATGCCCGATCCTAGTCACCAATCTATTTTTTAAATCACCGAATTTTTCTATACATGTGGAAAATAAAGAATACAGGGAGACGAGTACATAAATAGCCAGTAGAAAAGCATGGTTATTCCTTTGCAAGCACTCTCTCTATAGATTTTTTAACGGTGAGTTATCTAGTGGGGACATGCAACTGTGATTAATGAGATTCTACCCAAAACTGTAATTAATGAAGATATTAGGAGAGAAAGTGAGCTTCTCTCGATATCTTGAAGCAAGATTCTTTGAATATCTTCAAGATATTGACTTTGTCTTGTGATGCTTTTCATAGAATGTACACTTTAGCATTGTTCAATTACTCGGCGAGCCAACTCAGATTTGTATAAATAAATTGGGCTCCTCACCTTGACGAGTTCGAGTACCTCTATCTCAGAGTTGGGTGGTCAACTAAGACATCTCAAGAAAATAACTCAAGAAAATAAAAACTTAAGAAATAAGAAATTTATTTGAAATATGTTTTTTTTTATTTTTTATGTTTTGAGTAGAGTATTTTGGCCATGAATACTTATTTTTATATTTTTTATTTTTTTGAAGTATTAAAATATCCCCGGTCACAAATTAATTTTTAAAATAAAAAAATTCACTCATTTTTTAACCTCATTTAAATGAGTTGTGTTTATTTTTAGATTTTTATTGTATTCTTTTTTTCAAACACTTTGGCCTGCCTAGGATGTGGTCCTTGGGCCTACTCTGGAAGAGTAACTTAGACTCGGCATGGGCATGGGCCGAGCCAGTTCCCGAATCGCGAGTATGCATACTGCTTGCTACAGGCATTGGATCTTGCCTTTCCAATTTCAATTCTGGTATTGGAACGAAACCCATGTTTCCTTTGGATCTTAGGTCTAGGATCATCAACTTATTGCTGGTTCAAACCCATGTTTGAATCGGAATTCCGACCTGTTTTGTTGATTGGGTATCTTCTAAACTAGATTGGATTCAATTATCAGAGCATTATTTATCACAACAGTACCTGATAGAGGTTCAATAATTAGAGAATGACATGCGACTTTGGTTCTTCTCATACCAAGGTAAAATCCAAACTTGGTTTGGTTCAATTCAATCATCAAACAGCAATTAATGGTAGTTATAGAGACACAGGGTGAGAAAGAAAAGGGGTGTTTCAGAGAAGGACACGGTTTCTATGAATCCATGTAGAAATGAATGACTTCTTAAAAATTTATTTTTGAGATAAAATTTTTTACCTAATTTCTAAGGACATGTAATCTCTAACATGGAGATCATGAATATGAAGAATAAATATATTTTTTAAATTAATAATAATAATTCTATTAAAAAAACATTTGGACTGTTAGTTTCAATTATTTTTAGATGAACCACCTATTTGCATCCATCTTAGATACAGATTCTTTATACCTCGGGGACCGCAAATATGGAAATACGGTCCCCGTCATATGAAACAATTTTCCGGAGTTTTAAAGGGGAGTTTCAGAAATAGAAAGCGGTGGCAAACAAGAGAGAAAGAGACACGACATTTAGAGAGAATGGGGTTTAGGGTTTTGGAGAGAGAGGAGGGTATTTTCCTTCACTCTCTGCCCTAAAACCACATAGCGCCTTACACATTGAGTTTCATGTAAAAAAAGTTCTGGGGGCGTTTATCTAAGATTTCAACCTTAAACAATCGAAGGAAGGTGCAAGATATAATTTTTTCGTCAGAAAATGATCTGAATATACGTTGTTAAGTTACTTTATGGAATTTAAAGATCTAAAAATGGTGTAGATCGACTAAGGGGTTTACTCGAGATTTCAACCTCAAACAATCATATGAAAATGCATCTTGAAAACAAGTGTCAAACTATACAATTTTGTTGCTTGAAACTCTTGTTGTGGTCACTTTATGAAATTTAAAGTTCTAAAAATACTTTAGATCAATTACAATCATTCGAAATATTGAAAATTGATGATCTAGGTAATGTGTTATGATATGCACTACTTTTTTAGACTTTAAAAGTTTTAATTTTTTTTTTTTAAATTTATATATCTCAAAGTCAAATTTGATCAACTAAATGGTTTTCGACTATTTTAGGTTTTCGAGATGCACCTTATTTCTATAGCACAATATTGATACCTTTTATACATTTTTTTGAACGAAAAAATGATCTTAAGAAAAGATAAAGCTTTACAAAAAACTACATATAATTCTATTAATTAAGGGGTTGAAGCCCCCTTACATAATCATTAAAAAAAGTTAAGTGGTCTTAATTAACATTTGAGAGTTGCATTTTCATTTTCATTTTACTCGTGTACATCCTAAAAAGACCCTAATTTTTTTTATAATTATTATTTTTAGAGTTGGAAAGCTTGAACCATTTTGAGTTACAAATAATTGATCGAATCGTCAAGTGGGTTACAAATTATGTACAAACCGTTCTAGTGAAGAATAATTAGGGGTTTTAATAACAGTTGATACATTTGGTTCTCCAACGACTAAAATATCCCGTTCAAAGTTACAAACAAGTAACATTTTTACATTTTTTAATGATGAATAATTAGTGAGGAATAAATAGTGGTAATATTAATTGAACATGCAATGCATTAGTCATTGATATTGTTTTACATATGCATAGCATTTACCTACCAAATGGTAAACATACATTTATTTGTTTCTCACCACTAAACTAGTTATTTGTGACTGTAACTAATAATTTTTCTCGAATGGGTTTATTGGAGGTCAAATTATTAGAATACCCCATAATTGTTTAAGCTTTTTTAATCCTCTCAATTTGAAAATATTTTAAAAAAGTTATTAAAGAGATAAAATTTAAGTGAAATGAAAATAAAAAAGCAACCTCAAATATTAATTAGGATTATATAATTTTTTATAGTTTTATAGGAGGTTTATTATCATCATAGCTTTATTCTAATTAATTGGAGTCAGCTGCACAAATCCTGATCCGTTACTCTGCTCTATTAAAGGGCATGCTCTCGATAACTATAAATCTCTATATCTTTTCAGACTACTTCAACGACGTCTTTTAAAACTTACCAAACAACATATTGAAATTAACTTTATTTAAACACTAAGTAATTAGTGATAAGCAGGGCGTCCAAACGTGCACCAAGCCTAGGATGGCGCAACGCATTTGTTACCTCTATCGTAACTTACAAGGCTATATATGAAATATAATCAACAATTCATGCTAATTTTGTACAACAAATACCTTAGGATGGAAGTTTTTCCATCACAGTCAAATCACCCCTGCTTTTGAACGGACGGCTGGGATTAGAGCATCGAAGCGTCGCGGACCGTCCATCGATACCTTAGGATGGAAGTTCGTCCATCTCAGTCAAATCACCCCCCTGCTTTTGAACGGACGGCTGGGATTAGAGCATCGAAGCGTCGCGGCTCAATGATGGACGGTCATGGATCCGTTTTCCTTTCTCCAAAAGAGATGATCGGACGGTCAGGGTTCGTTTCTCTTTCTTTCATAAACGCCGGGTTTGGTGATTTCATGACGACAGACTAAGGTCGCTGAAACCTAATTTTTCATTGCTTCTGCAACTCTGTGAAGGTAAACCCTACTTTTTATACTCTCTATTTTTTTTTTTTTGTCTTTTTTTGAATATTTTTGATGAAAATAATCGGCCTGTTGGTTGCTTATTTGATCGATCAGTGAATTAGGGTTTTGATAGCGTTTATTTAGAGTGGTATTTTCTATTTTCGTGTGCAAATCTCACGTTTTCCACTTGTTTCTTAGTGTTTAGTGGCAATTTTAGTTTTCATTTGTTTTGGATGGCGGAGTTTTTTTCTAATAGTGTTCTGTTGATTTAGGGTTATTTTCTTTTTTAATTTCTCTATTCTGTTGGATGTTTTTGGGAAAGTCCTTGTTTTTTCGTGGTGTGATTATTGTCTGATGGGATTGAAAAGTTCATGAACATGGGGTCTGTTTATGATGCTGGTTTTCTTCTGATAAGTTTGGTAAAGGTTCATACGTGGTTATCTAGTTGAAATTATTAATAGATCTATGTTATTTATATTGTTTTGATGTGTGGCAAGGAATGGAATGATGGTTACTTTCTGCTGTTTGTTGTGATACGCAGGATAATGCTATGCCATACGAATTTGATCGTGTTTAATACATTTTTGAGGAAAATATTGGTTTATACTTCATACTTTTGTTTGTATTTATATTTATGTTTTGATAGAAAATTGACCGTTGATTGTTAAGTTTTTACTGATGATTTGGATTTTGTATTGTTTCTATCATTTTTGGGAATCAAATATTTCTTTCATTGTTTTGACGTGATGTAAGAAAAGAAATCAATTGGGAAAACAAAAAAAATAAAAATAGAAGATTGGGATTATGCTCTCTCTAAGAGCCTGCAAGGGAATGGGCCCCAATGCTGGTCTTTTCACAATTTTTATAAAAAGCCTATATTCTCTGCTCATTTCATTGTTAAAGAAATACATATGTATGAAAATAAAGGGAAAACACGAACTCTGCTTGTACCTCATGGACAACTCATACTAGTTGGGGTTGCTGACTAAAATCCCACCCTGAAAAAAGAAAAAGGAATTATGAAATATTTGACCTAATTGGCAATAGTAATAAATGTATGAGCAAGCTAAGAATTCCGCCTTTCCCAATTTTCTCCTTGCCATGCAAAGATACTTATGGGTACTTCACTTGTTTAGCAAGTCTGTCTCTTTCTTTTGTGAAGTGAACTTCCATCCTCTTCTTCAGGTATTCATAAACATAATGGCTAGTTTCGTTGCATCTGGAGAAATTGCTTGTCAATGTTCCATTGTTGTTTGGTGTCCACTTTTAAGAGCAATTCGATGCAAACATACTCTTGGGCACTCATCTTGTGTAGCATACTCATGGGCACTCACCTTGTTTAGCAATTCTGTCTCTTTCTTTTGTCAAGTGAACTTCCATCCTCTTCTTTGGGCATTTATAAAGTTGCACCATAACGAGTAACCTTGGAGAAACATACTTGAACTCATCCTCTCATTTCTTCATTAAATTTTGGGTCTTGAGAAATGAGTTTCTTGGTAAGAAATTGCTTTTTAATGCTCCATTTTTGTTTGGCCTCCACTCTTTGAGCAATTTGAAAACCTCACTTGAAGTCCATGGCTGGTGTACAAAATCTTACCCATCACTAATTAGAGCCCAATAGCCCATTAACATAAAAAGCAACTTCAGGACCGTCGGTCTCTTAGAGGTTGGTATGAACCACAGTCAAACTTCTCTAATTTTCATTTTGTCAAGAGTTTTTGGAGGCCTTGTAAGACAATTTGCTTGTTTTCTTCGTATTCCAATTAGGTATGTTCACTTTTTCATTGCTACGTTGAGCTTGTTGAACATTTTCCCAACAAACCCTAGCAGACCCATTGAGTTTGATTGCAAAAAGTTTAAGCTTTTATCTTTTGGAAATTCACACCACTTGAAAAAATTTCCTATCGAACTCAACTAGTACATAAAACCCTCAATGTTGAACTTGCCATGAAACTTGGGAAGATTGACCTTGATACTGAGTTCTCACATATGCTTCGTTGCCTCAATATCAGCCTATTGCATATGTGATGAGCCACTAGAGTTGATCGTGGATTGTAATTGATCTCTAAATAGAAATTTGGCGCATGATGTATTAGATCCAGCTCAAAACAAGTTTGTTCATGAGTCTCAAAGAATTCCAATATTTTTATTTGTTCATTTCAATATCAAACTCCAGCCCAACTTGGACCTCCGACACACCCATAATATCTGGGATTGCTGATTGAAATCTTACCCTAAAGAAAATAGAAGGAATAAAAAAAAATTGTACCTATTTTCCAATAGTAATAAATACCTAGTTTTTCTAATAATTAAGGGAAAGATCTTTTGTGTGCAGTACTCCAATGAAAAAGAATGAAGTGCCTGTATTTCGTTGCAATATATTTGATATAATTAGAATATATAGTTTTTTATTAATTAATATTTGTTCTTTACATCTTTTGGATAATATCGTTACTTGGGTATTATTGTTGGTATTGTTATTATTATTCTGATGAAACATGTGATTTGAAAAATTAGTTTTAGAGTAATGTGAAACATGTTATTTGATAAATTGATGTTTGAAATGCCAGTATTCGATTAGGATATAGCACGTTGATGTGCTGCCATGAAAGTTGGATCACACAGCAGTTTTTTCATGAGTTATTATCCAGCCTGAGAAAACATGTTCAAAATGTTCAAAGAAGTAAGATTGAAAAACCAACTTTGAATGAATTTAGGAGGACGGCTCTCTCTCTCTCTCTTTGTTTTTTTTTTTTGAACGGTAATTGTTAGTAGTGGGTTAACAATTTTGAAACCGTCAGTAGTTTTTGAAAGGGGTTAGCATTGGTAGGAATGGAAACCAAGACTTTTAGTTGAGTCACAAGTGGTGACTTCAATCAACCCCATTCATCGCTCTCATTTTCACAGCTATAGTTTCCATTTTTGTGGAAGTTTCTTTCCTAAAGTTTGCAGACGGTGATGATTTTTGATTTATTGATTTGTATCTTTGTTGTGGGGTTTTAAGGTTGATTATTAAGTGTTTTATTTCTGAATATAATTTTTTTATGCTAAATGATTGAGTTGTTTTGGTTAAGCCATTTTCTTTCGAGTACTTGGCAAGTTCTTCGAAGAACATCCAAGTCCCATGAAGAACATCCAAGTCCCATTGTTGTGATGTTTATTCCATGAGGCTTTTCACACTTCTATATTTGGAGTTTGAAATCATTTCAAATGATCTTGTGAGAATCCAAAAATGCAAATTTTGGTAATTTCAGGTTATTATAATTTGGATTTGCTTGAAATGGCTGAGGCAAAGCCTGGAATGAGAAAGCCAGTTTTCACCAAGGTTGATCAGCTTCGGCCCGGCACCAGTGGCCACACATTGACTGTGAAGGTGGTGAGTTCAAAGATGGTTTTGCAGAAAGGGCGTCCTGATGGGCCGCAAGTTCGCCAGATGCGTATTGCTGAATGTTTGGTTGGCGATGAGACTGGGATGATTGTCTTTACAGCAAGGAATGATCAAGGTAATCATGTTTTTAACTTCACCGTCTTATGAGAAATAATGGTCTAGATTCCCGGGTATGGGAAATTTCTAAGCGTGGTCTTAAACGAGTTCGATGTTTTTCCCTCTTCCATTGCCTATTTGTATGGTTATAATTGGCATTAGTTGGTGGATGGTAACATTAGTCAGGCTTATGTAGGCTTCCCAATAGCCAGCAAATCTAGACTTCATTACTAGGAAATGGATGGGTCTACAAATATTTGCGCATTCAAAATTTTGTTGGATTCATTCTTTGATTGTATAATATGACTGTTTATTTGCTCTCTTGCTGGTCTTAGTGCTCTGTGAATGCATTAAATTTCTCTCAATGTGTGTGCTCCAGTGAACAATATTCCTTTTTTTTTTTTTTTTTTTTCCATTTTTCAGTTCTTGAGTGGAGAAAGATGCATTTTTGTCAGCCTGCGAGCTTAGAAATTTTTGATCATATGTGCACCTTCATATTCATGTAGTTTTGTTCTATTTCTTTTGAGTGTGGTGTCTTCTGGCATTGATGTGCTCAAATCACATACATGCCAGAAGACCTACACTCAAAAGAAATAGAACAAAACTACATGAACATGAAGGTGCACATAAACGAGTGTGGTATCGTGTCCAAAGAATTCGGATGTGTGCATATGCTGACTTTGTTCCCGCATTCGAAAGAGTTGCATTTCTTTTTTGCAGAAATAAGTGAATTTGTGTTTATTATGTATGTCATTCTTTATTGAGAAATTGTTTTATATGGAAGTAAGCATTTCTTTTCTGCAGAAATAAGTGTATTTGTGTCTATATTATGTATGTCATTCTTTATTGAAAATTTTTTGTATATGGAAGCAAGCAATTTATAAATGAATTTGCATGTTAACAGTTTACGGTTTCCAATAGAAAAGAAAGTGTGTGACTGTATATTTGATGCCACATTTTTGGGTATCCAATCTTTAATGCTCCTTCATGCATCCACATGGATGGATGCATGTTTTTGTGTAGGATTTGTTGGTTGAGCTCTTAAAGATAGGCTGCTATTATTTCTGCCCCCTTGGGGTTGGGGGGGGGTGGGGTGGGGGGTGGTGGTGGTGTTGTGTTTGGGTTGGTAGAGTTTGGTTTAAAGGATTGCAAGAATCATGATTTTATCGTATTAGAAGAGAGAGGGTTGATGTTGGAGAGGGCAATACGGTAAAAATGATCTCTTGAGACACGGTAAAAATGATCTCTTGAGACAGGCCTGTAATGGAATGGGAGACAGTTTTTAACCGGACTCTCTGTATTAACATAATTCTTTGTATTAATGTGAGTTTTACTGTCTGTATTAACATAAATCTTTGTATTAATGTGAGTTTTTTTCTTTCTTTTGATTATTATTTGTTGGGCCATGTATTAACATAATTCTTTGTATTAATGTGAGTTTTTTCTTTCTTTTGATTGTTATTTGTTGGGATTGACCCAACAAATAATAATCAAAAGAAAGAAAAAACTGAGTCAGGGACTCACTATGATCCGAGACTGAGTCAGGAAACTCATTCAGTAATGAGTGTAGTGTAGAATTATATTGAGGAAGCAGGTTTCCATTGAGTCTGGGTCTAGGTATTTATTTGTTGGCTGAAACAAGACACTGAATTTTCATATCTGAGCAGTTAATGGTGGAATTGACTCATTAAAGCTGCAAATATGCTGCAAGAGGTTCTAGATATTGCCTGCATGGTGATGTAGTCTCCTGTCTTATCCCTGTGGGTGACTCGGGTGGGATTGGGTGTTTGGAATCCTTTTTTCTTTTTCTTTATTCACTTGTGGAAAAGAGTTATAATCTTTTGGTCCTTTTTAATCCTGCTACTATTTTATTATGGTGTTTATCAATATGTGAAAGTTTATCAATCCGTGTTATTTGTGTAGAAAAAACTGTCGACTGTGATTATTTTTTCTCGCACTTGGCAGAATTGTAATCTCCTTGTACCAAAGGGAGATAATGTTATTGCATGCAATCTTTGTAATCTCCTTGTACCAAAGGGAGATAATGTTATTGCATGCAAGATAATGTTATTGCATGCAATCTCTGTAATCTCTTTGTACCAAAGGGAGATAATGTTATTGCATGCAATCTCTGTAATCTCCTTTTACTAAAGGGAGATAATGTTTTGGCATGCAATCTCTTAGTCTTCTAGCATCCAATACAGTTTCACATTCTTCAATTTTACAACCTCTTATTCGAGGGAGTGATTGTGTGGAATTATAAAACATATTGTGTGATTTGTTTGCATAATTAATCCCTATATCTAATATGATCCTATAGTCGTCTAGTACACTATCTGTTATTTGAGGGAGAGATTATGTGGAATTATAGAAAGTATGGAGTGATTTGTTTGCATAATTCATCCCCCTGATTGCATAGCACATGTGGCATCAATTGCATTGGAATTGGATATGTAAATTTGTGATTTCCATTACAAAGTGTTCTCCCTCCAGTTGTGTAGAAAAAACTGTCGACTGTGATTATTTTTTCTCGCACTTGGCAGAATTGTAATCTCCTTGTACCAAAGGGAGATAATGTTATTGCATGCAATCTTTGTAATCTCCTTGTACCAAAGGGAGATAATGTTATTGCATGCAAGATAATGTTATTGCATGCAATCTCTGTAATCTCTTTGTACCAAAGGGAGATAATGTTATTGCATGCAATCTCTGTAATCTCCTTGTACTAAAGGGAGATAATGTTATGGCATGCAATCTCTTAGTCTTCTAGCATCCAATACAGTTTCACATTCTTCTATTTTACAACCTCTTATTCGAGGGAGTGATTGTGTGGAATTATAAAACATATTGTGTGATTTGTTTGCATAATTAATCCCTATATCTAATATGATCCTATAGTCGTCTAGTACACTATCTGTTATTTGAGGGAGAGATTATGTGGAATTATAGAAAGTATGGAGTGATTTGTTTGCATAATTCATCCCCCTTATTGCATAGCACATGTGGCATCAATTGCATTGGAATTGGATATGTAAATTTGTGATTTCCATTACAAAGTGTTCTCCCTCCAGTTGATATGATGAAGCCGAACTCAACTATCATTCTGAGGAATGCAAAAATCGACATGTTCAAGGGGTCTATGAGGCTTGCTGTGGACAAGTGGGGCCGTGTTGAAGTGACAGAGCCAGCTGATTTCACTGTCAAAGAAGACAACAACCTCTCTCTGGTGGAGTATGAGCTTGTAAATGTTGTCGAAGAGTGAAGGCCTAACATATCGCTTGAAGAGCAAAAGAAGGGCAGACTGATTTTATGGGTTTTTTGAGGGTTTCTGGTTCCTGATAAGTAAAGCAGCCCAGGTATATTTTTCTTTAGGAAAATGGTTTTCAGGTAAAGAAAATGAATCCCTATGCTTGCTATGAATGGAGTTATCGTCCCTGCAGTTAAAACAGCTGATCGACTTGTGAAGGTTTTGTCATGAATGTAGAAAGGCTTGTGCACAGATGATATGCACGAGTATCCGAAAGAATACTTGGGTTATGTTTAGTTTCATCCTAAATCTTTTATGTTAATAAGGACCCATCACTGTGGGACATGGATTTCATGGTATAATATGGATTTTGGATCATGGCTTTCATAATTGCACACTATGCTTATTTCTGTAGGTTTTAGTGTTTCTGGTGCTTCTCCAAAACAGAGCTCTGTTTCTCTTCCATCATTTACTTGAGGGAATTGGTTTCAAGTAAAAGCGTCACCTCATAACTACTCATCGAAAATTGCAATTCCATCATTGAAAAATGTTTGTATCGATCATCTCGGGTTGAGCATTATGTTTTAGAAAAAAAAAAGTTCTTAAATTTCTGTATATGGTAGCAAATAGTCTGGACCTGTCTATTTTGCCCCTAAATAAACTTTTAAGTGTTCCCATCTCGTATCTCTATTTAGTTTCAAATTTTAGGTACAAGTGTTCCCATCTCAGATCGTTATTAAGTTTCAAATTTTATTATCGGTATAGGAAATTAATTTCGATCATATTTCTGTCGGGGGAAGTGTTTTCTGAACGAGGATTTGTGGTGAGGCTTTATAGAAACTTCATCCATCATCTCGTGTATTTTTAATGGGCCTTTTCCAGTGGAATTTCCAGTGTTGATGTGGTTTTGTATGGTCGCCTTGATTTCCTATCCTGAAAAAGTGTACTGTGATTTATATGCTCATGTACATATGGTAACAGTACGTACATAGGGGGGGGGTTCATCAGCATCCAATCATTGTTTGGGACGGTGGACTGTAGGCTTGTCAATTGTTTTGTCGTATGATGAGAACCATAACAATGCCTTATGTGGACCATAGGATTATGATACCATATGTAGACCATAGGAATCTATAACGCGGTAGTGTTTATTCCCATTATGCTTCAGCATACCCAATAAGTCGGCAAGCAGTAAATTTAATATCTATTCCAATTCTCTTTATGGTGGTCGACGCTTTTCTTCTCTTTACTATGTAACCATCAACCATGGCGGTCTCTTGGTCAGCCGGTCCAGATCGGTTAATCGATCTTTTTTTTATTTTTGGGTAGTTCAGTAGGTCCCAACCTTGGTGATTTTCAAATGCGTCAATGGGAATGAGAACCTTGTCCGGTTGTTGAGATTCATTTTATTACCACTAGACGTCAACCCTATTCTCGAAGTGAAAAGATAAAAAAATTAACTCTTAAACTATTTGAAAACACGGGTATGGGTGTGTCCTCTCTATTGAATTACAAAAGAAAAAGAAAAAAAAGAAGTGGTTCTTAAATTTTAAACTGAAAAAATCATACCAAGTTTGATCTTTTTACCAAAAAGAGTCAAATGCAAATATGGAAAAAAAAGAATTCTAGTTATACTTTAAAATTGAATAAAAAGAAGAAGGAAAGCGATATACTTCCTGTGTCTCCGTGCTAGCATGCTTAAAGAAGACGTCATTCTCAATTTTGGAGGAACTTAAATTGTAAAATTTAGATTTAAAAAAATGATGTACATTGAGTAAATGTATAAATATCTAAAAAATCTTAAAAATAAATAGTCCAAATAATTTGTTAAAATATATATTATTTTTATGACTTGAAGTTTTTGTTTTTTATTTTTTATTATTTTAATATCTATAAATCTCAAGATCGAGATGATCAATTAGAAGATTTCTGAATTTTGGAGCATTTTTTTATTACTGGATTGTTTATTTGCACCTTACTCATATGGTGTAAGGTTGCAACCTTCTAGAAACTCTTTTCTTTTACCAAAATTTTACTAGTAAAGGACCTACCTAGAAATATTTTCTCTGCCCAATAAAATTTTGGGATCAAGGTTTGCTCAAAAAATGAAAATTAGATTTTGAGTTTCTTTAACTTATATATGACTGGACAGTCCAAATATTGATGATCTCCATAAAATTTATGGACATTGCTCATTGTGTAGAAACACACACAATGAGTGTGATGTATTTTTAAAATTTGAGACCAGTCTATTGGTTTGGTTGAGGAAGTTGCATCCTAAAATTTCAGGTCCAAAAAATACTCATCTACCAGGCATATAATCTCTAGGCTTATATTATTCACCGCATATCCGATAATGGACAACGTCCATAAAAAAAAGGCAATATTCGAGTCCATATCTCAAGATGGACAACGACCATAAAAAGAGTAAAAAAAAGAGAAAAAAAAGAAAAAAAAAAAAAAGAGAAAAAGAGAGAGATGAATGTTTGTTAGTACCAACTACTTTGAATCTGCACCTTTCATCACTGGGAATGGGTGGTTGATGGTGGTGAGCACAGACCACAAAGTGTTTGATTTCCTTTGCTTATTATTCTTTCCTTTCCTTCGCTTCCCCCAACCAAAAAGTCGGAATAATTTGCAGTAAGATGGTGTATGAAAAGCAAAAGCTGGCGCATGTGGCTTCCATTCCATGCTCGTGGGACTGAATGGTCCATTTCAATGAGAATGAGAATGAGAATGAGAATGAGAATGGTGCGCGTGATATGACTACTCACTTTTTACATGCAAACCAAGACATGCCCACGATACAAATTGTGCATCATGCCACCACTTGCTTTTACATGTACACCACTCCTCTCTCTCTCTCTTTCTCAAATAAAGGGGTGCCGTTTGTATACATCCGAGGCTCTAAACAATCAAAGTGAAACACACATTGAAATAGTATCGAGAAATGGTTCTACGGGCATTCCAGGCCCTGCGGGTATTGGTGGGATCATCATGGACAGTAGAGGTGATTTATTGATTAATTTTTTCTGTCTTATTGGAATTACTACAGTTAATGAGGCAGAGTGTAGGGCTGCACGGAAAAGTGGTTTTAATAAGCTTACTGTTATTGAATTGAAATTGAAGGGGACTCTATGAATATTGTGAAGTGGATCAAAGGGAAAGCATATTATTCTTGGGGTTTACAAAGTTTAATTAGAGAGTTGATTAATGTTTGTAAGAGTTTGGAGGTTCAGATTGTGCATGTGTATGGGGGAGAGCAATATGGAGGTTGATGCTCTTGTAAAAGTCGGAGTTAGTGCTTTATTTTTTTTTGATTTGCCAGTTCTTATAAATTGTGCATTATTGTATTATTGTTATTTGATTTTAATATAGCTGTTAATGTTCTTCAAAAAAAAAAAAAGTGTGATTTCAATACTTGAAATCTTTGTGACAACTTTAAAATATATTTTCACCTTTAATTATAAATTTTAAAGGTTAAAAACTAGTATACATTGAGCAGATCTATGAAAACTCGAAATCTTGAAAACTGACAGTCCAAAAATACATTATAAACTACATTATTTTCAAAACTTGAAATCCATTTTGTTCCCATGTCCATGCATCTTGATATCGAGATGAACAATTTGAAGACATTCTAATGAAGTTTTTGAAGTGGGCTCTAATTTGATTGTTTAAAGCCTCGGCTCTCTATAAACCATTTTCCCAAATAAAAAGGTCACATATCATCTGTTTTTTAACATGCAAGCCCCTGAGTCATTCCCCTCCCTAAATCCATAATTTGCAGGATGTTACTAGTTTTCTTGTTTTAGCGGACCCCAAAGAAGGGAGTGGTTTCTATAAGGCTGCACCCTTGAACTATTCAATTAAGGAGCATCTCCAAGTAATTTTGATAAAATCGTTTTTTAGGATTATCTGAAAATATATTTTTATATCTAATTAAAAAATTTTAAACTCTAAAAATAGTTTAAAGCAAGTAGATAAAAAAAACATAGGAAAATCTTGAAAATAGACGGTTGTAAGATGCACAATTTTAGGGACTACAAATCTTTTTTTTTTATACATTTGGATACGGAGATGATGAATTAGAGGTTTTTTTTCCATCATTAAAACAATTTTTTCCAATGGATTTTTAATGTGCATCTGTATTTCTACATTTCTAAGGTTGGAACCTTTTTCCTTCAAAGAAAGAGCGACCAACACTCCCTAATACCAAAAAAATCACTAAACCCTACTCTACCGACCGCACTCTGATCCCTGAGCTCAAGTCCCATTAGCTCAATACCAGTCGAAAGCAGCAGCTCAAATCCAACCCTAAAAACCATTTCTCTCAATGCCGAGCCACGTTTGGGAAGGCATCAATAATTTTTGAGATGCACAACTCCCCCACCATCTCTCTCTCTCTAAGACAGCACATGCTCAACACAATGACAACTCAGAATGAAGCTTACAGCTGAGAGAGGGAGGAGTCATAATTTCTCCCATCCATCAAATCTCATAAAGAGAATCGAGTGTTGTGAAAGCTCATCAGGCCTTTTCATTGCACGCCTTGAAATACATGTACTTTACACCTTTATTTCCTCAAATCTTCAATCTCCTCGTTAACTCATGCTTACTCAATTCATGTGAAACTACTTTGAATTTGCATCAGAATAGGTTTAATGCTTATTTAAAGTGCTCTTCCTTTGACTTAAGAAGTGGCCCATCAAGTCCTATTTGAATTTGAATTTGAATTTGATTTTCTTCAAAATTTATTGCATTGAGTCTGCAAGTCCTTCGTTGCAGAGCTATCGGTCGTTGGGTGGATGTACACTGCTGCTGCCAATAAAGGATAGTTGGACACCATGCACCGACACCCAAATGCAAGAGGGGATAATATCTCTTTGGAAAACTTTTGTTGAAGCACATGGCCTCTCCCCCCCCCTCAATCATGGACCCTCTCTTTTTTTCTCTCTCTCTCTACATAATTTAGAATGGACTCTTTATTTAATCCAAATATCAGGATAGACTCTTTTTCTATTTTTTTCTTTTGGATTTTTTATTTTTTTATTTTTTAATAGGGATGAAGTTTTTATAAAACATAACCTCACTTCAAATCCTTGATTGAAAAGCACTTTCGGCAACGAAAAATCACTATAGAGGCTCTAAAATCAATTTGCAACACTGACACTAAATTTGAAACTAAAAATACGTTCTTGTGGATCTTTGAATATTTATTTTTAGGGCGAAATGGATGATCTAGATAATTTATTACAATATATGCTATTTTTAGAACCGGAAATCTTGTTTTTTTTCACAACCATAATAATTAAGTCAAGATGATCGATTTTTAAGGTTTGCTACTGCTTGAATTACAATTTTCTATGAGATATAAAGTGAGGCTTTAGTTAT